TTATACATAGATATTTGAACCAACATATAGAGAGTATTTGAACAGAGAGATATAGATACATATAACAGAGAGATATAGATAGATAATTGAAACAAGGTATATAGATAGATATTTTAACAGAGATACACAGGTTGTTATTTGAACAAGTGATATATAAATAGATATGTAAAGTGAGAGATAGATATTGGAACTGAAGTAGAAAAGGAAAAAATCCAAGCTTAAGATAATACACACAAAAGAAAATAGATGCTATCAGGAAAAACTGAACAGATTGATATTTCTGCATCTGTCTATATTTCTGAGATGAGGTATTATGTACATTATTTACATTAATCAGACTATTGTTCTCATCTTTGTTGCCATATTTATTACGTTTTGCCGTTGTATGATCCGGCCTTCTTCAGGTGGTTGCTGAAGGCATTAAGTTTATAATACCCAGAAATTCAAACACAGATGTCCTCAAGGACACATGGCACGTGTTAGTTAGATCCACCCAAAGAGTGTGAGTTCAATACCCGGCTAAGGCAGTGGAGAACTTTCAGAGGGAAATTAACAGAAGATAACTGACATGGATTAAACATGGCATGTGAGCAATATAAAGGGTTCAGTTTGACATTCCAACCACCTGAAGAAGGCCAGAGCATACAACAGCTGAAACATTGTAATAAATATGGCGAAAAAGATGAGGACAATAGTCTGAATAATGTAAATGATGTACATAATACCTCATCTCAGACCCGGACCCGATATATCAAAAATATGGAGACAAATTGAAAAATCCTACCAGAACTATCAAACTATTTGACATTCCTACACTGATGCAGAGATCTACAACTTATCCCTTCAGGCTTGGCACCAAGACTTCCTGTCAATTCAAATTAATTCAATTAATTCACGCCCTTGTTCGAGAGAGAATCCAGTACAATCATTGGAGAAGATATATCAAGCTCCTATCTCCCAGAGGCTCAAGGATTTCTTCAAAAGAATTACTAATAAAGAAGACCAGAGAAGGATCCAAAATGACCTGGATAAATCCTTCAGACATGAATTTGATGTGTAGTCAAGGCTCACCAAGTACACAAATTAAACTGAGGGATCAGAAGATGATGAACAAGATCCATCAGTAGTCAACATCAGCCAATATCAGCTGAGTGCCTCTGAGGAGTCAGTATTGAATAAGGGTCTCTTCGCCACAACCATCAGGCGAGTGCCATACTTGGACATCATTGCCAGAGTCGAGGAGGTGGCCTTGAACATCCCTCAGGCTCAGGCAGATGAACTGAGATGGAAAGTAAGACAGACCTTGGAGAAGGCCAAGCCGCCCAGGTCTAACATAACAAAACTGGAGAGGCTGGTGATCAGATCCCTACAGAGGAATGAAAACATCATCATACTACCAGCTGACAAAGGCAATATGACTGTAGTGATAGACAAATCAGATTATACAAGAAAGCTGGAAGACCTCATTGGCAATGGTAGCTATAGCAAAGTAAAATACTACAATGAAAACGGAACACAAACTGTTACAGATACTAATCAAGAACAAGGATCACTTCGCACCCAAGACGTATAGGCAGTTAGCACAGTGTTACACCAAGCTACCTCACATATATGGTCTCCCTAAGATTCACAATATTCTGTGTGTCACCCTCTGAGTCGCTTCCTTGGACATATGATTGACTCATTGATCAGAAAGTCTCCTTCATATGCCTGAAACTCCGCCCACTTCATGGAAATAATCAAAGATGCTCCCATCCTATCCAACCAGATGGTGAGCTTCGATGTGGTGAGTTTGTTCACCAAGGTACCCACGAAGGAGGTACTTTCAGTAGGCAGAGACTCATCCCTAGAAGAACGGACCAGTATTCCAATAGATAATCTGATGGAGATGTTGACTTTCTGTACACAAACAACACACTTCAGAATGGAATCACACATATATCGACAGGATGAGGGCAATGGGCTCACCATTATCACCAGCAATGGCGAATATATACATGAAATACTTTGAGGAAATGGCATTAGAATCTATATCTCTAAAGACAACTATATGGTTAAGGTACGTACATGACACCTTCATACTGTGTCCACACCAGGAAGATGTTCAGGTTCTACTGGACCATGTGAACTCAATAAGACCTTCAATACAGTTCACAATGGAGAATGAGAGTAACAACACACTCCCATTCCTGGATGTTCTTGAACAGAGCATGGGTTTAAGACGTCTGTATATCATAAACCGACATTCACCGGACAGTACCACAATTTCAACTTCCACTATCCATACAGCATAAAGAAAGGGATTGTCTGCTGCTTACAACACCAAGCAAAAGTCATAAGTGGCAACCCAGAGATATTAGATAAAGAATTGGTCAGTATAAGTAGTACTCTACAACATAACAACTACCCTGGGTACATGGCAGCAGCCCCAAAAAACTAGGATAGGTGGGTACAAGAGGAGGACAACAACACTCAGAAAACAGTCTGCCTGCCTTATGTGAAGGGGTTATCAGAGAAAATACAAAGGATCTGTGGTCCATATAACATCAGGACAACCTTCAAAAGTTTGATGACAATTCACACATATCTCTCCTGAGTAACCCCCCCCCCATAGAGGAGAACATGACTAATGACTGTGTGTACGCTATCCCATGCAGCTGTGGAAAGGAATATAAAGGAGAGACAGGCCACCCCGCCTAAGGTAAAGCTTCAAGAACACCAGAAAGCTGTAACACAAGGGGAAGTGGAAAAATCAGGCGTGGCTGACCACATATGGAGAGAGAAGGAAGATCACTGCCTCTGTAGGATCAGGTTGAGATCAAAGACAAAGAACACCATTAGAAAATTCGTAAACTTAAGGAATCAGCACATATGCTAGGCCAGAAAAATCTCCTGAGCCAACCAAGCATAGAAATGAATACATTATGGAAACCAGTAATAAGGAGTGACAGAGGAAAGTGATAATAACAACACAAAATTGCAATATGAGCTCTGGTAAAAACATGATGATAACAGCAAAACTTGCAATATGAGCACTGGTAAAAAAATGATGGCTGAAGATATTAGGTTTATAATACCCAGAAATTCATACACAGATGTCCTAAAGGCGTTAGTTAGATCCAGTAACAGGACCCAAAGAGTATGAGTTCAATACTCGGCTAAGGCAGTGGAGAACTTTCAGAGGGAAATGAACAGGAGATAACTGATATCCATTAAACATGGCATGTGGAACTAAAACAGTCTACGCCAGTGAGCGAAATAAAGGGTTCAGTTCGACATTCCAACCACCTGAAGATGGCTGGAATGTACAATGACCGAAATGTTGTAATAAATATGGCGACAAAGATGAGGACAGACTGATATTTCATACATATGCAGACACATACACACAAACCTGTTACATATAATGGATTTGCAGAGGGTGTAATGGATAGGGAGCTAAGAATAAGAAATTGGAAGTTCAAATTCCAGTATGGGTTAAACAGTAGAACAGACTTGTATCTTTTAGCCTTGGTTGGAAACCAGTGTAGGAGGAGGATATTTCAGAATTGAAAACCTGAGGAGGGTTGTTTGGGAATCTTATGGCATACTATATGTACCAGTTTCCTGCTTTCAGTTCTTCTAAAAAGTGTACTTGATTCTGCACAAACCTTCACCACAAAAATTACGTATGTGTTGGTAGTCTGATTGTTCAGTTCTTGGAGTTGAATTGTTGGACCCTTATATGTTGAAGACAACAGGAAAATCCATTATATAAATGATAGATGTATGTTAACCACTGTGATTATGTGGTATGGATATTCTTGCTTTGATAATTTTTCAAAAATCTTTTTTTCTTTGAAAGGTAAAAAAAATGAAATATTTGCAGTGATAATGACTTTTGTCTTTCTCTTGTTTTATACAGAAGAATTTTATTTATATATATATATATATATATATATATATATATATACATACACACACACACTCAAACATATAAAAACTTTAAATGATATATGCTTCTATATATATAAGTGGATGTATATGCAGGCATTAAACATGTGCAACATGCAATTCTTGCTCTGCGTGACCGCTTAAGACCAGTCATTCCTTTCAACTTTGATTTCAACTATGACAAAAAATAACATTTGGAAAACTCAGATTTTTAAAAAAAATTTTTTGTTTGATTTGTATTTGTAATACTGTAGCCTGACCGACACAGATTTCTATTATTATTATTAGATATATTATACACACTCATGTGAACACAAACATATTTAAAAAAAGAATATAAAAAATCTGAGAGAATAAAAGCATGAATTGTGATAAAGAAAGAAAAGGAGACATCAACAAGTAACAAGAAAAAAGATAGGAAAGACTAAAGAGGAAAGAAAAAGAATAAAGACAATCAAGGAAAAGGAGATAAGATTAAAAAGGGAAAAGATACGAATACGTAAAACATCAAGGCAAAGGAAAAAGGAAAGACAAAAAAGAAAAAAATAAGAAATAAAATCTAGCAGCAAGGAAAAGAACATAGGAACGATGGGAAAAAGAAAGAAAAAGAATATCAAGTAACAAGGAAAAAATGACAGAGACTGGAGAAGAAAAAAAATGAGAAGAAAAAAATGAGAAGAAAAAAAATGAAAGAAGAAAAAAATGAGAAGAAAAAAAATGAGAAGAAAAAAAATGAGAAGAAAAAAAAGAAAAAAATGAAAGAAGAAAAAAATGAGAAGAAAAAAAAATGAGAAGGAAAAATGAAAGAAAAAAAAATGAGAAGGAAAAATGAAAAGAAAAAAATGGGAAGAAGAAAAAAATGAGAAGAAAGAAAAAATGAGAAGAAAGAAAAAATGAGAAGAAAGAAAAAATGAGAAAAAGAAAAAATGAGAAAAAGAAAAAATGAGAAAAAGAAAAAATGAGAAAGAAAAATAAAAAAAAAGAAATTAAAAAGACAAGGACAAAATGAAAATGAAAAAGAAAAAATCTGTTAAATAAAGAAAAGAGAAAAGAAAAATCTGTGAAATAAAGAAAAAGACAAAAATAAACCAATTCAAAGAATTTTTAAAAAAATTCTTAAAAAATAAAATAAACAAAAAAGAGAAGAAACTGATGGTAGATCATCATAAAAACAATTGGTCTAGAAGTTTGAATATGATAAGAAGTCTCCCTGATGTTGGAACACCCATCTGTTCTCTGCAAGAGATGTAACTTTTCTTGCTATGTCATACTGATATCTTCAAGCACTAATACACATGATATTATATCCACTGGTAATAAACTTTAAAAAACTTGAAGAAGAAGAAAAAAAAATTCCAGAAACTCCATTCAAAAAATCAGAAACTTCACCACAACCCCGAAGATAGCATTGGATTTTTTCTTCTTTCATTCCCTTTCTTTTTATTTTATTATGTTTAATTGATCTTGTTATACCTACAAAGACACTTCGTGTCCTGACCCCCAAGGCTACTTTATAATGCATGATCTGCTAAAAAAAAAAGAAAAAAAAAATTATATCTATTCCATTATTATTTCACACACTCTGAAACAGAATATTCAGACTCAGTTTATTCAAGCCGTGCATCCATCTTTTGCAGTTTTTAAGGATGACACTTTCAGTTTTAATAAACAAATATCTTATTGTACCCCTACCAATGTGTTCATATGATAGTATACCCCCACCATGAAGTTATCTGCTATGTTAATAAATGTTTTATCCAATAGTAATGCCTTACATAAAACAATAGGCAGAAATCTTAGCCATGCTTTAGTTCAGTATTTAGAACAATAGACTTAGATATAAAAACCAATGTCCATTGTCGCATCATGAAAGTCATTAAAGTTTACCCAATACAAGGCCCAAGAGCCACTCAAAGTACAGAGTTACTGAATTAAGTGTGTAATATGAACATAAAAGAGGAAATGAAGATAGATAATAATAAACTCTAGACTTGAAGAAGTTAAGATTTTATTGTCGAGGGAAGCATCCAAGTGGGAATCTGTTCTACAAAGTAGCAATCCTTAGGTACAAGCTCTTGGAGTGGAATGTCCTTCTTACCAAAGGAATACAGAGGGAATGAGGATGATTCAACTATGTGGCTGTAGTAAGGCAAATCTTGGATGTAAAAGTCTGAAATGATGGTAATAAAGAATAGAGTTCATCTAAACTTTTTCCATGGAAGTAGTGACAGAATAGCAATAGTCTTGGGATGTACCTGTGGAGAATGAGGTTCTCGGGTGGAAAATAAGTCATCCCTCACAAGTGAACGGTTTTAAATTCTGTAAATGTTTGGTTTGGTTTAATTTGTTTTACAGCATATTAACCTCAATGGGTTATTTAATGCCGACAAGATTTTTATTGATGGTAATATTTTTTTTCAAAAATTTATTGATGGTAACATTTTTTCCCAAAAATGTATAGATGGTAATAATTATTTTCTTTAAAAAATTCATTGCTAGTAATAATTTTAAAAGAAAATGTATTGATGGTATTAAAACTTACTTTTACACCTTCATAGTGCTTTGACCCCAGTTTGGGGGTTAACTAGCTCGGACCCTAATAGGCGCTATCACCCCAGGTCAGGGTGGACCTGGGAACACCAACAATTAAGAAGTGGTTCCACACTCCTCAAAACCTCCTGATCAGAGGCCTTGCTGTTGGATGTAGTTTACCATCTTACTCATTACGCAAACTCTATCAAGTTTAGAAAGTGAGAATAGGGCAGATCCTACTGAGACTGCAGTCCAAGAATTCCCATTAACTGAAGGTCATTCTAGAGATAGTACAAAGTTATTTAATTTTGAATGATGAATCTAAGTATACATATTCTGAATCAGCTATTAAATAAGGGTTTCATACTGCATCTAAAAATACTAAAGCTAAATAGAGAGGCCCTTATAATAAACAATTCTCATGTTGAAATAGATGTGTACACTGAATAGCAGTTCTCAATCACAGAAGATGGGATTAGTGAGTAAAGTTGAATTTCTTTCCAAACTTTTTGCTTTCAGTTTCACACAAATGCCTTAGGAGACTTATGAAGCCATCTCTTCTCTCCATCACCTATGGGTTTAAATAGCAAAGCAGATTGGCCTCTCTAACCTTGGTTGGCAATCAGCCCAAGAGAAAGACATTCTTGGTGGCACTGCTTAAAAGGATAACTGTGCTGACATCCAATCTTCCTAAACGTTTAATAAGCAGAAATGAATGTCAATGGCTGCCGTTTTCATTCCATTCTGCAGTGACACATCTATGCTTGATTTTTTTTTTTTCACTTTGTACAAGGCTTGGGTGCCACACAAAGTAGAGGTTTACATTAAGAGGCAGTTTATACAGATCGGAGAGGAAGCTAATGGTTAACCCTAGACTTGAACAGGTCAAGATTGTAGTGACCCATCCTCTTGGGAGTCAATTCCACAGATCAGTAAACTGTGGGAAGACACTGTTCAATGCATACTTTTGTGCCAGATGCTATTTTGCAATACTACCACTTGACTATAAGAAGGATAAAAATAAATTTACATTATTGGTAGGAAAGTTAAACTTCTGCCATACTACCACCCACTGCCTCTGGCATATGGGCACAAACTTAATCAATTAGAAGGCATTACTTTTGGAATAATCCTTGTAGTATAACAGCTAATTAGTTTCTTATAATAAATTAATAACTTGCGAGCAAACCTAAAAGATGCAGTACTTGAAAAATCAATTAATCTTAACAGATGATTTCAAGATAAAAATTAGCCATATGGAAAGAATGTGAAATATTAAGGAAGAGAAATCTGAAGGCATGTTGAGTTAGCAAAAGATGCATTGCAAAACCTAAGCAAATTATTAAGAAACAGAAAAAAAAAAATTTAATTGAAACAAAGAAAAGAGTGCTCAACTGTTATGTAATATCAGTCCTCCAATATGGCAGTGAATGCTGGACAATTTCATCACAGATGAAGAAAAGAATTGAGGCAATATAAATATGACTCTACAGAAGGATACTGAGAATACCATGAACTGAACACATGAGTAATAAGAGAAAATAGGAACAAAAAGGATGCTTACATTTAGAATGAGAAAGAGAGAGTTGAAATTTCTAGGTGGCATAATAAGAAAAGAAGGCTTAGAAAATTTGATACTCATAGGATATATTGAAGGCAACAGGGATAGAGGAAAACATCAAATAACCTTCTTAACAAGCTTGTATAAATGGTTAGCAGAACAGGGATTGAGTGAGATAGCAAAAAAAAAAAAACTTTATTATGAGCTACAAAGGAGAGGAATTTATGTAGAGCTATGGTTACCCACCACCTGAAAGGACATGGTACATAAAAGAAGAAACAAAGATTGCAATGATCACTAATTCAGATAAAAAGAATACAGTGTGCACATTTTGTGGGAATGGGTATAGAAAACGCTTCTATTTCTTGGCCACTAAGTTCTATTCAAATTATCAAAATATTACACTATATCCAATGAACTGGTGTTAGATATAGAAGACTAAGAGCTGCATATTTCTCTATCCTTTTTAGTTTATCATTTTTTTATATAAGAGTTGAAAATTTTGGAAGTCCACTTAACTACACTTCTCCAAACTTCCATCCAGAGCCATGTCATCTTTCAACTTTAATTCCTTGAGGTCATTGTTGACATCTCTCCAAGTTTTCTTTGGCTGTCCTTTATAAAGACTGCTTTTGATACTCAACTCAATTTGGTTAAAATGAGTTCTGGGAAGTGAGTGACCAAAAGATTCCCTTTTATAAATATCAAGTATAGTCAATAATTTTGTTTATTTTTTATTTCTTTTTCTTTAAAGTATATTTCAAATGAAAAAAAATGTATCATATTCTGTAACCCTGATTTGAAGGAGTAAGTTCCAAGATCACAAGCAGACTGAATGATTTGTTTTTTATGGTTCACCAACCCTTTTCAGGTTATTTAAAGCCAGAAAATATTTTTAGACTGTAAGAATTATTTTTTAAATAATCATGATTTAGTGATACAAGTCTTACTAATTAACCCATACCTGGGGAAAGAAGAGATAGATTCATGCTTTTTCTAAAGGTATTTTGAACCTAAGCGAATATAATGAACCCAACTGGAATTGAAACTTGGTTCTCTAAGAGTTCTGAGCTATTATCCATTACACCACCTATACATCCAAACTTACAGCAGCTGTTAATCTGAAATGGTCACCCAACAAAGGTATTGACCAGGCTCAATGTTGCTTAACTTTGACCATAAGCAAGTATCTGAAAATATTTGTTATTACTATAGATGTAATCATTTCTCCTGTGCATATCTCAATTGCCAGCATTATTATACTTGTTCTTAGGGGGTCATTAAGTAACATTCATGAATTAACTTCTTTTTTTTTCCTGTAATAGGTCATGAGTAACTGAACCTGGGAAAAATCATCCCTATGGCATAGTAACTTTTAAAAATTATAAAAATCTTTAAATTGTTTATTATGACTAAACTGTGCAGGCTTGTAGGTGATGAAGTTGCTATCTTCTTATTAGTCTGTTGCTATTTTCCAGGCTGAATTTTGAGTGAACTATATTCTTTGGTTCAACCAGTCAAGATTTTTCCATCTAGGACCTGCCAGGTCATATACACTAATTCATCCTCATTCCTTTCATATCCAATTGTTGAAGGGGGGGGGGAATTCAACTCAGATGGTTTGTGACCCAGAACTGTTGCATTATAGAATAAACTTCTAAGAAGATGCATTATTAGACACACTACAATCTTGACCTCTCATGGTTTGGCTCAATTGTTATCTATTAAACATATCCTCATAATATGCTAGTCCTGGATATGATAAACTATATCCATCAGCAAGGCCTCTGATTGGTTGATTGGAAGTTTTGAGGAGTGTAGAACTTCCTCTTAAATGCTCTTGTTCTCAGATAACACCTTTTAGGGTCCCAACTATGGGCAAATAGTGAACCCCACCCCAAACAAAAACATTATGAAAATATAAAAATAAAAAACAGTTTTAGCTACTTCAATAATTAAATGTATAAGATTTCTTACAAAAACATTTTATATCATATGGAATAATGGTGGTGTAAAGTGTACATGCATGAAATGAGACCAATTGATTTACAATGCAAAGATAACAGGAATAGGAACAAAGGAAGAGTAATTAAGAGGACAGTAGATAGTGACTGACATTGCATTTAAATTTTTAAAGATTAAAGTTGGCTGCAAAGCATGGAACTAGAAGGGAGTTCCACAAGTGTAAAAAAAAAAAAGAAAAATAAAGAAACTGTTAGCATAGAACTTTCTGCTACATCTAGCCAACTCAACTGCAAATTCACTTGACTTTGTTACTAGTCTAATACTGCACTTAAATTCAAAAAGTCTATGTACCATAGCAAACAATTGCTATG